TTACATTGCTAAACTTTACAATATATAAAGCATAACGACTGTAGAGCCACATCAGCCCGTTTGCGATAATAATGTGTTTAATGCAGTTTTGCGCACGTGTGTTTACATTTTACAGAAACGAAACTTAAGCGCATGGCTCATTTGCATAAACAGCACTTCTCACGCAGCTCAGCTCGTTTAGCTTCTTTCGGGCTAAAGGACGCGACTCGATGGAATATGAGGATGTGCTGATGATGGTTTTGTCTGTAAATGGTGGAAAAGGTTCGTGGTGCTTGAAGTTTTTCACTGGCACCAACTTTCGGCGTTCACGGCGATAGTGACGAGTGAATGAGACACGAGCGAACAAAATCAGGGAGGCGGGGCGACACGAGAGAGGTGACGTATCGATAGAGATATCGATATATTTATATTTAAAATATCGATATATCGCCCACCCCTAGCCTAACATATACACAACCCATGAAAAATTACATTTTCATTACACATTAGTAAACACAGACATTCTCATGTGTGACCAATATCACACAAATGTTCATGGACATTGTGGATATAACGATCATGTAATATTGGCTGTGCTCCTCATAAGCTGCTTCTGTGGTGATGAACTCTGTCCCCACTGATACCTCATGGGGGACCAGGTTGTTATTTCTGATTGTGCTTGTTTTTTTTTTAATACTTGTAACTATCTGGAATCTGACATAGCTATCTTTTTTTTTTTTTTTTTTTTTTTTTTTTACAACTAACTATCTGGAATCTGGGACACTAACTATCTGGAACCAGTAGATAAAGAAAAAATAAAACACATTCCAGCATAGAAATACATGTAGAACACCCCAGCGTAATGTCACCGCAAACTATCAATAGGACCTTTTAATGGCGGGGGTTAAATGCTGATACTTTCTTTATGTTTAGACAGACAGCGTGTTGTTTGCACTATAAAATACAATACAGCGTCTCTGTACACAACACAATGGCCCTGACTTTCCATTACAGGCTGAGCTGGAGCGGAGCCTTGAAGTCCATTGATTTAGCTGTAGATCGCTGCACTCTCACGCTCCCACACGCAGACGCTGTGAGGTGAATAAGCGGAGGTCACTGAACATCGAGGCTCTTGTTCTCCAAGGAGATCAATGCTCTGCTCCGAGTCTGTTTATCTCCAAACGGCGGCGATGGGGAGCTCAGATTACGTTGGGTTTTTAGAGCTATTTGCATCTCCACGGACACTTCAGGACTAGCAAGGATTCGAGGGTGGATTATGCTGACGAATATTGATAAAACGCATGGAAACTGTACTTTTTCAAGAGTCTGTGATCGATACAAATGTTCACGGTCTGGTTCAGGGGTTTGATTTTCAACAAAAAAGTGAGAGTGACTAAATGGAAATCTGCTGGCCAATTCTAGCTCGCTTGTGACTGGAATTTTATATTTCAGAGACTTGTTTAGAATCTGTGTATCATTTGTTCGTTTTTCAAAATAAAACCGAAAATAAGAAAAGAAAAACAACAATTTTCTTCATTATTTGTCTCCAAAACCAAAAAAAAAAACTAAAACAAACCAACAAAAAAAAAAAACAGATAACAATTATTTTTATGTTTTTGATTTTGTGTTTAAATGAATAATGGAAAAACAAACAAATAACAGCTAGACTTTTGCACTGCATACGGACTGAACCAGGACTGGACCAGAACTAAAACAGGTCTAAACCAAGTCTATACCAAGTCTAAACCAGGTCTCATTTCTGGCCTGGTCCTAGTCTCAGTCCTAAACAGGACTAAACCAGAATTAAACCAGGATTGAACCAGGATTAAAGCAGGACTGAACTGGGACTAAACCAGGAGTGAACCAGGACTAAACCAGGACTGAACCAGGACTGAACCAGGACTAAAGCAGGACTGAACCGGGACTAAACGAGGACTGAACCAGGAGTGGGAGTGGATGGGCACGGAGGTGACGGTGCGTGATCACTGTTGGGTGATCAGGAAACCGGGACCAGACTGAGACTGAGACCGGGATTGAGACCGTTTTAGACCTGGTTCAATCCTGGTTTGGACCTGCTTTAGTCCTGACTTAGTCCTGTTTCAGTCCTGGTTCAGTCCGTATGCAGCGCTAAAGTCCAGATCGCAGTTTAATTCATGAAAACGAGAAACGACCGTTATCCGTTTTTTCCATTATTTATTTAAACACAAAATCAAAAACTGAAAAAATGAATCGTTATCCTCTTTTTTAATATTTTGGAGTCAAATAATGAAGAAAATTGATGTTTCTTTCATTTTCTTATTTTTGGTTTTATTTTGAAAAACGAATGAACGAATGATACACGGATTGTTTAGCAACACAAAATCAGCTCAGCTCTCATGTTGTAGTTTCAACTAAGTAAAAATAAAAATAACTGGGACATCCCCATTTTTTGGTGGCTGAAAGTAATAAAATGGTAAAATGACTGCGTAATTAAGGAAAATTGTTCTGCAGACACCATTAAAGATTCACATGTGAGCCAGTATAGTCACATTTTCTTTGTGTTTTGGTCGTTTTTAAGCAGCATTTCTGTATTTTACCTAATCAAATTACAGTTACTTGCGTCTCTTTACTGTTGGAAGGTTTCAAATTGGTCAAAAATTGGGACACCTGGGAGATTTCTTGTATAAAACTGGGACAAATCAATGGTTTTGGATAAATCTGCTGGGACAGGGACCCTACATCAGCTGTAAATTCTCAAAACTAATCTTTAACTCCTTTATTTTTACTAGCTTTAAGTGAAGAAAATACTTTACGTGAGCAGAAATATTTACAATAAACTATTTGGATTTTTAGTAAACATTTTTAGCGTTCTTTCTCTCAAAATAATCCGCTGAATTCAGACTGTTGTGTTCATAAACTCAAACATTGATCTATATTACTGCACGTTCTATACACCTCAGTACAGTTTTTATTTTGACCACTAGATGGCAGCATTGCTCTACGAATCGCTGCCTCAAACGGCGGCCTGAAAATGTGGCTCATTTCATCCTCTCAGAAAAACCATTAGACACGGAACTACCACAGCCATTTCACTTATAGGCTCTAAAAACATGTGAAAATTTCTACTGATAAAACGCAAAATGGCTAGAACGCTCTTTCTCATGTTTTAATCAGAACCTGCAGGGTTGTCAAAACAATCGACAACCAAACACTAATGGATACCGAAACTAGTATCGAGACTAGATACTCATTTGAGCACATGTCGATACTGAAAGTCACATTCACAGGACAGAAATTAAACTTTTATGAATAGATTTAGAAAGATCTTGAACAAATATAAGGGCACATAGACAAATTGAACCTACCTGGACCACCGAGGGATCACACAGATATAAAACCACATGGGAATATAAAAGAAAGCACGGTACTACAATTTAATTTTGGAAATGAATCTATGGTCCGACACATTTTTCTTGGCCCTCAGGCTTCCAGGTGAATTGGCCCACATTACCTTGCATCAATTAAAATGTACTTTTTACTGCAAGTTTTCTGAAAATCTACCTTGATAAAGCGAATATTTAATACCGAGTGTGTGGTTTTAAAGATCTTAGCATGAATAAAGTCTGATGGCTCTTTCTAACGTGTTTAAACATGCACGTATCACAATTATTCACTGTACTGAGCACCACTCTACGGTCCTCGAACAGCCCTCTGCTTCGCCTGGGTTTAGATATCCAATCCAGTCCACTTTAATTCTATAGCACATTTCACAAACAGTTTCCAAAGTGCTGCACAAATACATAATAATAACAATAATAAAATGATACAATAAACTACTAAAATAATCTTACTAGTCTTAAAATAATAAAACCAGTGAAATAAAATAAGAGCAAAATCATAGAATATAGATATGTGGCCCTTGATGAAAAAAGTTTGGACACCCCTGGTCTAAAGTGTTTTTTTTTTTTTTTATACATCCATCCTGAATTACGAACTTCCGATCATCACGCAATGCAGACTGGGAAGGATCCTCCGAAAAAGTGAGCATCAAATCTAGCCTTTTGAACCATATCGTTTTTGTTTCTGGTTCTGATATTGTCATATTTTAGTTTTGAGATTCGAACATCGTAATTGTGTGGTTGTTGGATGTCCTAACAGCGGAAACGGCTCGAGAAATGGGCTTCGGAAGTTTGCGAACGCCATAAATGCAAAAGGGAATCAGATCTGTGTGACTGACTTTGCAGCGAGCATTTTGTATGTGGAGCGTCAACAAAGCGGGATCCAGTTTGTTAATCGAGAGGTACAGAAGACAAACAGGCTGAGCTCAAACTTTCTTGTTCTTGTGGTTTTACAGCAACATCACGTCTTGGTCGCTTTGCAGTGGAAGGTGTTTCTTGGTGAACAGCTGGTGCCTTTCGCTTTGGAGTTGACTTTTTAAATTCGTAACCAAGGTGGTGCGAGGAATTGGGATTTTGCCTTGTTGACGCTCCACATACAAAATGTTCGCCGCAAACTCGGGATGATTTCTTAGGCAGCCAAATGTTTCCTTTTTGTGGATCAATCCTGTCCATCGCCTTCGAATTTCACTGTTTTTCAATTCCGTTGGGAAGGGAAACAGTTTGAACAGAGGTTTCCAGTCACACAGATCTGATTCTCTTTTGCGTTTATGGAGTTCGCAAACTTCCGAAGCCCATTTCTCGAGCCATTTTCCGCTGTTAGGACATCCAGCAACCACACAATTAACGATGTCCGAATCCCAAAACTAAAACATGACAGTATCAGAACCAGAAACAAAAGCGATATGGTTCAAAGCACTTGAAAAGATCGGCTCTGACAATAGACGCATCCCACTGGGAAAACAAACATGACGATTTGATGCTCACTTTTTCGGAGGATCCTTCCCAGTATGCATTGCGCGATGACTGGAAATTCGGGATGCATGTATATTATCATCGTGGTATCAGAGTCTGTATTGAATCTACTCCTTAGCGTCGAAATTGAGTTTGAAATCCTGAACAGTCTTTGTGTTTTTTGTTTTCCAGGACGTCCTGAACAACCTTGGTTCTTCAGAGCTCGACGAGGACGATTTGATGTTGGACCTGGAGCTGTCGGATGATCAGAGGCATCGGCATGGTAAGTTTTTAATACTAAGGAACTAAATATGCAACTTTTAAGAGCTTTTAAGGGTGTCATTGTTGTTTCCTTTTCTCATTCACCCTCTGAAAGTTATATTTTGAATGATTCATGCATGTCAACAAGGAATGGTACAAGATCTCGTGCGATCTTGTACCATCTTGTTTATATTTGGACTGGACAAAAAAGGGTTATTTGTCAGTATATTTGTTTTATAGTAATTTTTATTACTATTTTTATAGTAATAAGTGAAAAGGTTATTATTTTATTTGTTCAAGTATTGAGAGGTGTCATAATATTGCAGTTATTGTTTTTTGTATTTTATTTGTGAATATATTTGCCTTTTTGAGTTGTGTGACCTTTGCCTTACCCCCGGAAGTAGAAAAGAGAAAAATAGTAGCGCGAAAAGAGAGAAGGGGACAAAGAGAGAAAACATAGAGAGGTGTAAAGAAAAGGGACATCAAGATAAAAATACGCTGTTTTACTACTGCTGTTAACGTAAAGGAGAACACGGTAAATATAGTTTGTGTATTTATTTAAAGGTGTTTATGAAAAGTTAAGTTATTTTCTGTCTGTTTTGTTTTAGTTTTCACGGTGTTTTGGTGTGTTAATGAAGAGTGCTGAAAATAAATACTGACACACAAACTTTCTCGCTAAGAAAACCAGGGTAGTTACACAAATAAATAAAAGTTCTGAGGCCAAAATTGGAAACTGAATTGTGAAATGTATACATCAAAATCTCGTCTTGTCTCATTCACATGGACCTAATCTCGCACATTGCAAAAAAGCTTGGCCAAAATTTAAGATATAAACACATAAATCTATCAGAAAATGACTTAAAAGTAGTAAAATTTTCTTTTTGTTTGACAAGTTATCTTAAAATAAACCACCTCTAGATTAGAATTAAGCATCTCTGAACTAGTAAGTAGATAAAAAAGTGTGAAAACAAGATGAATAACCTGACATAAGTTTTAAAATCTTGGCCAGATCAGAGAAATTTGCAGTGTATTTCGTTTCGTCCTGTGGAAATTGTGTCTCGTCCTGACCCTAATGTCAAAACCCCATTTATTTTTTTGCATCTTGGATTCAGCAAAGTTGTGTAGTCAGACATTTTAACATGAATGAAAAGGAGAAAAAAATCTGACTGCTCACTTCTGTGATCTGCAGCTGTCAGCACGATCTACCATGATGTTTGTGATGGTTTTTAAAAAGCCAGATTTAAAAGTCACTGGACCAATTTAGTTTTAGATCCATATTGCCTTTAAGAATATCCAAATTCAAACATTATCACAACATTTTGACTTCAAGTTCAGATTCTGCTCAATCAAAGGTGCGTTATGAAGCTTTTTGGGTATGGGTCCGCTACCTGATTAAGTCTAAAGGCCGCATACGGACTGAACCAGGACTGATCCATGACTAAAGCAGAACTAAAACAGGTCTAAACCAGGTCTAAACCAGGTCTAAACCAGGTCTAAACCAGGACTAAACCAGGACTGAACCAGGACTGAACCAGGACTGAGTGACGGGATGGGCCTGGAGGTGTAGACTGTCGGGTGATCGGGACTGAGACCGGGACTGAGACCAGGACTGAGACCAAGACTGAGACCAAGACTGAGACCAAGACTGAGACCAGGACTCAGGATTGAGACCAGGATCGGGACTGAGACCGGGACTGGATCGGGACTGAGACCGGGACTGAGACCGGGACTGAGACCAGGACTGAGACCAGGACTGAGACCAGGACTGAGACCGACCAGGACTGAGACCAGGACTGAGACCAAGACTGAGGACTGAGACCAGGACTGAGACCTGAGGACTGGGACTGAGACCCAGGACTGAGACCAGGACTGAGACCAGGACTGAGACCGGGAGAAGACCAGGACTGAGACCAGGAATGAGCCCGGGAGCAGATCGGGACCAGACTGGAACTGAGACTGGGACCAGACCAGGATTGAGACCGCGACCAGACCAGGACTGGGACTGAGACCAATTTAGTCCTGGCTTAGTCCTAGTTTAGTCCTGTTTTAGACCTGGTTTAGACCTGGTTTAGACCTGGTTTAGACCTGGTTCAGCCCGGCATCACAGTTTAAGTCACGGAAACGGGAAACGGCCATTATCCGTTTTTTTCCATTATTCATTTAAACACAAAACCAAAAACTGAAAAAACAAATCATTATCCAGTTTTAAATTTTGGTTTTGGAGACAAATAATGAAGAAAACAGTTGCTTTTTCATTTTCTTATTTTTGATTTTATATTGAAAAACGAATAAACGAACGATACACGGATTTTACTGCAACACTCTGAAACATTTTAGACATGACGAACGTGACGAACCCACTACCAGAAAAATTACATAGCACAAATTGTGTAGTGAAACGTAAATTAGACACGTGTAAAACAGATGTAATAGTCTTGCATATCCACAGTAATACTCACTGTAACCGTCTGCCTCACCTTGTCATATCAGGATTGCGCTGTGCAGACTGTAGCTGAAATTAAAGCCGTGATGGACTGCTCTCATAAGATCCGGAGACTGGACTCTGAGAGAGGAACAGTGGGGTTCGGCCTCTCGCTCAATTTGAACGGAGCTAATTAAAAGACTCCTGCACTCACACCAACTCACTGAACCCTGCCACGGATCTGTACGGAGCATTATCTGAGAATAATAAAGAATTCACTGGTCCCGGCAACTTTGGACAGCTCAGTTAAACCGCTACGAGAACGGACTAGATATTTTCAGAGCCAAAACAAACAGCTACGTGCGGTTTTATAGCTCAAAAATACCTAGAAAAACAGGCATTCTGACTGTGACACGATGCACTTTTAATACTTTGGTTCTTCTTTCTTCACGACCCAAGTCAATAGACATTATTTGTAAATCACAACATAAATTTGTGACCATTATTGAACATTAATGAGGATATTTTCTTGTTGACTGAGTGATTGTGTCTCTCTGAACAGTTAGTATTACCGTATTTTTCAAACTATAAGGCGCAGTATCAATAATGTTGAATTCTCTCGTCTATTTTCATACATAAGGTGCACCGGATTATAAGGCGCATTAAGCAAAATAAACGGACGACACTTGAGATTTGAGACTTTTTTATTTCCTACGAGGACGACTCAAATATAGATTGAGTAATAATGTGTTTAATGCAGCTTTGCGCATGTTTGTTTACATTTTGCAGAAACTAAACTTAAAACCACATGGCTCATTTGCATATTTGCATACTATAAGTTTTGTAAACTCCCCAGTAACTCTTAGACTACGTTTACACTGAAGCGAATCACTGTCTCACCTTATCACCATATCAGAAACTATTTGAGTCCACACACGTCATTTCTGTGTCCGCAGGTCTTCCCTATCCACACAGCTTTGCGCATATTTGTTTACGTTTTACAGAACCAAAACTTAAAACCGCATGGCTCATTTGCATAAACTCAGCACTCAAAAAACGGCTCACTCCTTGTGCGCTGATGCGGTTCAGCTTCTGTCGGACTAAAGGACACGACTCAGTGGAATATGAGTGAAAATTGGTTCGAGGTCAGTAAGCACAACCAGAATTAATACATAAAATGCACTGGATTATAAGGCACACTGTCGATTTTTCAGAAAATGAAGGGATTTTAAGTGTGCCTTATAGTCCGAAAAATACGGTACTCAAGTTTTAAACAAGGAAAGCAATAAGTGTTTCTCACAGAAAATTAGTTCGGCAAGGCGGTGCTGCCGAAAAAGTGAAGAGTGGGCTGGTGCGAGGAGATGTATGTATACTGTATTTTCCGGGCTCTAGATTATAAAACGCACTGTCATTAAATGGTCTATTTTTGAACTTTCTTCACAAATAAACCGCACCGGACTTTAAACGAAACACAACAGTTGGATGGGTCAGTTGGACTTTGTTTGTGGCGTTCACGGTGACTCTGGGCTTTGTTCAGTTGTGGCGTGTAGGGAGGGTGCTGTCTGGGACCAACGGATTGTCGGTGTGTTCGCAGTGACTCAGTTGTTCAGTTGTGTCTAGAAGTGGCACATTGCACTCGCTTTTTCGGTTCGTTCCTCTGTTCTGTTCCTCGTCGGGTGTGGAGTGATGAGTGTGTCTGTGGGTGTTTTTCGCTGTGCGGTCGCTGTCTGCTCCGTGTGTGTTTGTGTGTGTTCTGCGGGTGGTGCGGCTTTGTAGTTTACTGAAGTCGTGCTGGGACACCTGAGTGGATTCGTGTATAGGGCGCTCTGGATTGTGGGACGTGCAGTCGTTTTTTGATGGGGTTGGAGGCTTAAGAGCGCGTCTAATAGCCCGGAAAATACGGTATGTATATTGCAGACCTACATGCAGATCGTGACAAGGCGACCCCCCAAAAAATCTTTTGCAACCGACCCAGTCTCATGAAACAATGGTTTAACAATTCAATTCAACAATTCAATTATATCCATGTGCAATTATTTTTAAGTCTTTTTTTATTTTTTAAGCTATTATTTATTATCTGTTTTATTGTATGTTACCTTTTCCTGCTGCTCTGAAATTGCGCGTTGCAACACTGGAATTTCCCCGCTGTGGGACTAATAAAGGCATATCTTATCTTATCTTATCTTAAATCATCCAGAGTATAGTATTAAACTAATCTGCCTTGTGTTTATTTACTACAGGTGTTATTTACTGCTCAAAAATATCTTAAAAACATCCATTTGTACTGTGAGTAGGGTCCCCTCTTCGCAAATCTAATCTCAAAGTCAAAATAAGTCTGCTGCGTACTGTTTGCATCCAATTAAAAAACGTCGTATTAGCATTACCGTGATGGCAAAACTCCGCTCCGGTCTCTTAAAGTTCTGAAAAGTGCTTATAAACTCACTGCGTTGAATAATTCGGATGCTCAGAATGCATAAGGTAAGTGAGGAATAACTCTCAAACCGTTTAAAATGAACCAGTTCTGTTTTTCACGTTTTAAATCAGGAACAGTAAAACAGTAAAAATCTGATACAGCACCTTTAAACCCGCGAGTCAGCACT